GGGTGCATTGTGCAAGGATCCCAGGCAAGTGTGTGGTGGGGCTTTCTATTTACGTGCTTAAAGAAGGTAGTTATATAGGAAAGCACTGAAGAATTCTTTTGCTGAGGAAGGGATTGTAGGCCAAATAATTTTATGAACCTCTGATTATGATAGTGACTCTTCTATTTTTGAAAAAAATGATAAGGAAGCATCTTTCTTTTTCTTATAACAAAATGAAGCAAACTTACACTCATTTGTGCTACCATATTGATGTTTTAAAAGTAGGTTTTGATCACTCTTGCAGCATAATGCTTTTGCTAAATAAGTAGTATATATTTATTTTCTATAGTACGTAGATCTCTGAAGAAGTCATTTCGTCTTCATTGTAAATTAAATTTCCGTATCAGAATGTTTTAAAATAGTTAATACTTAAAAATATTTGCTGATGCTTTTTTCTCTCCATCTTTACAACAGAACTCATATATCTCTCTATATTCTCAGTTCAAAAGAGTGGGACAAAAATAATGTACCTTTCACAATTATTTTAACCATCCATAAGTAAACTTGAAGTTTAAATTAACTTTAATTTGATCTTGTAGATTTGTGACACAAATTTAAAGCCTCACACACATAGTTTTTATACTTAATTTTGCAATTCATTTCCTAGGTTCTAATTAAATGTTCATAGTACTCCACTTCAAGTACCAATTCCCTGCATTCCTCTTGATTAGTAGGAAAGAATCAATAAGAATTGATCCAATTTGTAGAACACAATTCTCATATTGATAGTAGTTTATATTCATTTGCTTTTCCCTAATCTTTTATTAATGGTCATCTTCGAAATGTCAATTAATGCCAAAGCCCTGCACAATGATAATGCAAATCTATAAAGAAATCAGCTTGACACTTTACAGTAGGGCAAAAATGAAAAAAGCTATTATTTTGAGGAATATTTTGTAATTGAATATGACAGAAATGACGGATAAGTAAAACTCCAATTTTGGAGCTGTAAATTGAAAACAACTAAAAACTAAAAATAACTGAATGAAATGCATTTAAATAATAAACTCCTGCCTTAGATTTTTAGAGTTCCACATTGTAACCCTAGCTGCTATTATATAAAAAATAATTCCAAGAAATAATAACTAAATGATAATAGAAATATGAGTGTTTGTGCTACAAAATATTATGGGCTATTAGGTTATACCACTAATGAAAGAGAAATATCATTTCATGTATTAGTGCTACTCATTATAGAGAAAGTGGTAGACCACTCAGTCTTTATTCAATGAAATCTTTTTCATAAAATATAACATTATTGCTATTATATAATTTTTGTCTAACTCTATCAGAGTATTTTTAATGATCATTTTAGAGGAGTTAGAGATAATATACTTCCTTAATTTTTCATATGTGATACTAAGACTATTATTTTTTCTATAGATTATAATTTGTATCTTCAGACTTGATAGACTCAAGTCTGAATCTAATCAGACACTAATAAAGACATTTCATAGGTTACTGAACATTTTGTAATACCATTGTCTTCCCACTCTTGATCTTACTTGGGTAAATAGTGTTACCCACTATTAGTGATATTGAGTTTAAGTGATGACTACCAGGTGTCTTAATTATACAAGCATATTTCCCCTATAGATAGCAAATAAACTCTGAAATAGTTCCTGACACTGTTAAATATGCTTGCATGCAGACATATTTCACCTATTATATTCAGTATACATTGTTGGTGCTTTTCTGAATGAATGATTTTATGATAGATGCAATGTTGAACTTTTTCTAATACAAAAATTACCATTATGTTTTACCATACAGATAAGAGAAATTCCAGTAAAGATTTTATACATTTTAATGTTCTATTTTTATCATTTATTTTACTATAAACCAATAAGAAATCAATAAAACTATATTGGAGTGAAAGTAAGAGGTACATTTTTGAGAAAAAAAAATAGAAAGTTTAACTGCTCAATATTGAAGACCCAGTTTAGAGTGGTAGGTTTTTTGCTGTGGAACAATATGTCTGATCTTCAGAACTCACCTTTTGATGGGGGACAGGTATAAAGTACCTGGCTCCCTCATACCAGTGAGTGCTTTCCTAGACTTGAAGATAGTTGTAAGCAGTTACAGCCAAACCCACTTCAAGTCAGGCTGGGCATATGTTTAGACTTGGGGTACAAAAAGACTTTCTCAGACACTAAATACTAAGTAGTCTCTTGCCTCTTTATTTCCTTTCCATGACACACATCATCAAGTCTAGCTAACAAAAAAGTGTAAATAAATAACTTTTGAATTCCCCTGAATCATTCTGCCTGCCAAACCCAATGCAGTGAGTCGGGGAGTTATTCCCTGTTGAAATCATCTCTTTTCTTTTTCTGTGGAGGCAAAGAGGGTTTTGTAGGGTGCCAGGATGACGGTCTTTCTAATCAGCGGTTGAACGTGGGCTGGGGCTCTGCCCAGGATTCAGCTGTGCTAAGCCTGGGGATCACGTAGTGTCAGAAATCAAATTTTATCTAGTGCTGTAGTATCTCTTAAGCCTAAAATGATGTTTGCAGCATAGAGAAAGATGGGGGGAAATGAATGAAATTTTGTTTTCCATAGTGTTTCGTTAGCATAGTATTAAATAAAGGTGCTGTTAGGTAGAGAGGACATTGTAGAATTGTGGTAAGAATCATTTGTTAATGCAAGGCTCTCCTTTTCTGAGCTCTAGAAGGGGCCGGAAAAGAGGTGGATAGAAACAGAAATGAACATTTAAACCAATTCAGGTATTTCATTTCGAAAGATAGCGAACCTCTTTCCTCATTTCCATTGCTTTATAATAAATGTCCTTATTCCCAGTGAGAGCTAATAATAAAGGGTACACACACCGTTTTCAAAATCTTATGATAATCTATAGATAGTTGGTTGATTCATGTTGCAAATTTGGATTAATTTTCATAGCATTTTAAGTCATTAGAAATGTGCATAATACATAAAACAAACTGTTCCATCATAACTTATAAGTGTTTCCATTGAAAAGTTTGTTTCCTTACTAAAAGCTGTCTAAAATTTTAAGGTCACTCAAATTACATTGTAACTTAAAAACAAGATTGTGGGTAAGTAGAAGTTGTTCCTTTAAAAACATCTCAGTGCATTTGCATAAACACCTTCTGTGATCTTTCTAAATCAAGCTATCTTATTTTTTATTAGTTTGCAAGAGCACAGTTAACTAGTTTGTGATAGGACATTGTTCTAACACAGCTACAAAATACAAAAAAAAAATGCCTGTGTTCCATTCTCGTTGTTGGTGTGACTCCAAACCGCCTTAAACAATGTGTGCATACAAATAAGTGAACAGGCTGGAGGCAGAATAAGTGGCCCCCACCCCCTTCCCTGCTATATCACTTCCAGAGTTGATTTTAAGGACAAACATGGCAACAACCAGAGCTGGAAATGCAGGAATGTTTGAATAGGTCTTATGAATAAAGCAACAATGAGCATTATGCTCTTAGTACACACAGATCTGAACCCCTTTTCTCTCTTCTTTTTAGCTTCATCAGACTAATTATATGACACATGGATTGTGGCAGAGGGAAGTGAGGGAGATAAGTTCATGCATATGCTGTATGTGAAAGAGCCACAAAGCAGACTTCTGTGAGTTTGCTTATCCTCTTTAAAATCTTCTAAATCATCCCTGAATAGCTGGGGCCAAGACAAAATGTGACAACTTAGCTTAAAAGAAAAAAAAAGAGGAGACACAAAATTAATGACCCCTGTGATGTTTCTAGAGAGGCATTACCTGTGTATTTGCTCCTAAGCGACATACTCTCTTCCCTAAGTAAACAGCTGTACTTCTTCACTCTCACAAGAAGAAATCCTCTGTAGATGTTTCAGGTGATAAAAAAGCCTGCTGGCGCATTGCAACTGGAATGACCTATGGCTCTCTGGTTTTCAATTTCGGAAGGACCCTCTTGGATTTTATTTTGTCTGTGTCTGCTTATCAGCAATGAAACAAGAGACATTGCTCAAATTTTCCTAATATGTAGATATGACATGGAGCATCACCGAGCACTCATGAAATTAGTAACGGCGCCTTTGAGATTCTCTGTACATGGATACTGCGAGTCGGTTTCAGATGATTTCAGCTTGAGTGTCCTTTACATTTAATCTCATCTCTGAAATTGTACAGTCAGAAATTAATGAGAAATTTAAAAAGCATAAGGGAGCATTTTTTAAAAAAGAAAAACAAGAATAGATGAATAACTGATGGAAAATCTCAAATGCTTTGAACTGGTTTACGATATTCAACCTCAGAAGAACAAAGTGAGGTTTTATTTATGCGTTCATTAAGAGAAGTTGTTATTAATCTGATGAGATGGCCAGTTGTTGCTTTCTGAAAGATGCAATGTGGCACCACTTTCTTCACTATTGCTCAGGAGATTCTGACAGTTTTAGCATTCTCTCTCTTATGTGACAAAACCCTATTGCCCCCTATACCTCTTTCCTGTGTGCGTGTAGACACACACACACACACACACACACACACACACACACACACACACACACACCCATATGAGGTAAGTCCCCTGGGTCTGTAATTGGCAGGAGATGAAGCGATGATGGGGAGTGATCACAGTCAATAGCTTTGATTAACAATAAGGTGGGAAATTAGCAATGCTAGCATTCAGCCACCCTGCCCTCTCCCTCCTCCATATGCTCCCTCAGTCCGCGCTGGCGGCCTGACACAGGGCAGGCAGAGCCCTTCGCTGGCTTTGAAGTGCAGCAAAGGTGCAGGCAGAGCAGAGAATTAGGGAAATTAAGGCGAAGGAGACCCCAAGGCAGGATGCTGAGACTCTCTCAGGGCTTTTTGTGCAGCAGGAGAGGCGAGGCAGAAGTGTGCTGTGTGTTGTCCTTGTGTGTTTTTCTGTCACATGTGGATTTACTTGTGTCTGGACATGCTGTGATCGAAATGGCAACTACTGTTACTTCTGTGACCCCATCAGCAGCTCTGGTGTTGTTTTCGACAGACCCTGAAGACCTAGAGAGGGGGAACGACAACGGGACGCCCATCCCCACCTCTGATAACGATGACAATTCGCTGGGCTACACAGGTAGAGTGTTTCTTTCCCCAATTCGAACTATCCATTCTTCCCCAAATGCCTCCACCTCCATCCGTCATCAACCACCTGTGTAAAATGATCTCATCATCCCCATTGCTGGCTAACCACCACGGCTATTTCTTGTCCTCATTTCTCAAGTCTTCATTCTTCAGCCGGGAGGTCAGATTGCTCAAGGGAATACCCTCGGGGGAAGAAATTTCACATGAAAACTGCATGTGTTTTTCTCCATGTTTAATATGCACGTTGTTCATCCTCCTGAAACTTTGATGTTGCTAATATGCTTAGAGGGTAACATTTCCTCGGATAGTTACTATTTCACTCAATAGCTACCAAAAGAAATCAAGGATGACTGGCAGGTAATGGAGTTTCAAAATTAGATGTACTTTTTTGGTCACACTTGGCATCTTATAAACAACAGAAAGCTAACGCTTAACAAAAAGGTGCATATCATAATTATGAATTTGTACCAGAGAATTGTGGTTGCTTTAGTATTATTGCCTCTTGCATGTGTACACCGCATGGAGATAACACATTAACTAACTGATAATGTTGGGAATAATTCATATATAAATGTCTAAGAATGGTCATCCTGGAATATGTAAATACTTCCTGAGGAATTTTTATATATGAATACAGCCATAAGTATAACTGCATAAATTAAACATATAGGTCTGCTACAAGAATAAAATTTTAGAGGTAAAAACAAAAGATATCTCATGCAACCCATTGATTCTGATCATGTTATAATACAGGTCCCGTATTGGTAATCATTTACTATTTTATTATAATTAGCTCTTGTTAGCACAATTCTCTGTACAACATGCTAAGTTGTATAGAGTGGACAGTAGAAAGATTGGGGATGGATGGGAGGGTCTGGGGTGGATGTATTCATTGAAGTTAGAAATAATAAGGAACACAATTACTCATTATAGTCTAATGTGACTGATACTAAAAAAGAAAATAGTCCAATAGAAAGATTATGTTTTGGTATAAAATAGTGATCTAGTGAGGATATTTTCAAGGAATCCTCACTATCTTCATAGAAATTAATTTCTAAATGTTATCCCTTGTCTACATAATGTAAGCTTTAAACACCTGAAACAGTTACTAAAGTGAACAACAGCTTTATAATAATCTTTATTGTTCATTATATTTATTTTGTCTCACAGATCATGCATTTTTATATTTTTCTTACCTTTCAGTGTAAAAATTTAAGATGAAAAAGTCAGCAAATCAAAGTCTATTTATAGTAAGATAGGTACTTAACATAATACTTTCCTAGAAAGTTACTTAAAACCTTTTAAATGTCCTTTCTTAATACCATAAATACCTCGATGTTTATAAATGAACAGATGATACCCAATTTAGTGCTCTTTAGCATGGATAATCTCATTTGATATATGTCTATTTTAATTCTAGTTCCAATTTCATTCTCACCCAATCTAAACTCTGCATTGTTTGGATAAACTAAGAGTGTTTGCTGCTGTTGACTTTTATTTAGTTTTTGTATATTATACTTAATCAATGCATAGCATGTGCAGAGTAAAATTAAGGGGGCTTAAATCCTAATGAATCTAAGACTTAATATAATCTTTTATAATTCTTCATTTCCACTTTTTATCACCTTGGATTAATCAGCAATCTGATTGTGCTATGAAATATTTCATTAGGTGAATTAGTACATGGTAAAAAACATAATAAACATAAGGGATCTAATTAAAGCAGTACTTCTAAAGAAAAGTGACTGGAAAGCAATCATTTGAATATTCTATTATTAAAGTTATAATTATTAACACTCTCATACCAAAGAAAGTTTGTTCTGTAAGTTTTTTTCAGTAAATTCTTATTCAGGAATCTCTTTTCTACTACATGAATTAAACATGCTATTTGTGTCTCATTCAATTGAATCTTCGCTCTTTCTATGCTCTTTTAAAACGCCACTAGAAGTGAGAAATATATAATAAAATATTTCCTCCTATAATAATTATGAATATCACAATCTCTAGTTCTGATGTTGAAGTACGAAACAAAATAATATAGAAAACTAACAACAGATTTTCTTTTCTTTTGTGTGAATGTGTGTAGATAACTTTGATGTGATTGTTTGTGTTTGTAAGTATGTATCTATATGACTTTCTTTATTATGACCACATATAATTGAGTTGACAGAATCTTTTAGGAAGAAATAATTCAGTTCAGAGCAAAATGAGATGGCCTATCTATTCAGAGACATTTTTGCATATTTTATGTAAACTACTTAAGGCTATTATGTCTAGAGAGTAACCCTGAATATAGCAAATTGTCAGAAATAAGATATAAATATTAATTAAAGAAAAGGATATACAAAGCAATTAATGCTTATTTCTAGACATCATAAGAAAAACTTACATGAATGTTAGTATGATCAGCTGTAGTTTGTAGATCATTTTTTGCATAATTCAGAAAAATTATTGTGCAATTTGCATACATCATATACTTACATTTTAGAACATGTTGCTTCACTTGAGACTTCTTTACACAAATACATATGTATGAAAGTATATATAAGTATACACATATACTTCCATATGTACATATGCATATATGTATATATACACAGATATATATACATGTTTATATATAGATACGTATATCTATATTTCCCCAAGGAATTTTTACTGTCAAGAAACATTTTGGACAACATAAAACAGTCTCAAAAGAAGATAGGACGTTCATTAAAATTTGCATTCTACAGTTCCAATTCTCCCTTTTCCACTATTACAATTCTTATTCTCACTGAAAGCTAATTTGTGACTATAACATCCACTCTGCTACTAAAATTATTTGTGACCAAGACTATCAAATTGATTCATAAAACCAAATTGTGTCTCATATTATGCACATAAATTTATTTTATTCATTATAAAATCAAAATGATATCTCATTAATAATATCTCCTTTTTAATGATTATATATATGCCATACTCACCAAAATTGCATGTGATTTTATTAAGAGGCCCAGGATAAAATTATAATATAAATTCAGAGAAGAAACGTATACTGATTGATTTCTTCTTACCAAGCTATATAAGGTTTGAAAACATTTCAGTCTACCTCCTACTAATCAATGAATGCAAAATAATTTCTAAGGTGGCACTTCGGAGTGCAATTAAAGTGGACTTGTGCATTATTTACAGGGAATGAGCCCATTTCCTGTTTAACCAAGTGTGTCATAAATATTGGGGGTTATTTAACAGTTCACAGCCTTTGTCATAAGAAAAAAATAAAATGGGATTTCAAATCACCATATTGAAGTTTCAAATACATATGTCCAAGAGTTTGAATATGCAATAATTTTAATAAGGTTCTGAAAAGAGTATATTTATTAACTTATTGCAAGGTACTCATATATATTTTGCATATTTTGCATATACAGGTATCTATACTATATATGTATATATAATAAGTATATTTCAGATAAGTAATATATAGTAAAACAAGTAAAAGGTAAATAATAGGTCTAAAAGTATTAAAATATGTGCATACACCCAATACACATATAGATAATCAATCATACAAAATTTAAAGACTTTACTGACACAAGAATTTTTCTGAAAGTTAGTGGGGAACTAAAAATGTTCTAGCAGTATTCTTAATCTTTTTAGAAAGCAATAATTACCAAGTAAAAATAAAGTAAGTTGATACATTATTCTTATGACTAGGAAGCATAAACTTGCTTTGTGATGTCTACAATACTTCCTTGAGCCCCACGTCACTAAATCTAAGACAACTTCTTCCATTTCCATGGGTCTCTTTTAAGACCCAAACTTGCAATAGCGTATTGTAAAAAGTAAAATAAATTTATTGGGTCTACTATACGATAACATATCAGAATAAAATTTAAGATGCATATTTTAAAGCCCTAAAAATGAACAATTATGAGAATCATGTCACTGTTTATTCCAATTAAGTATCTAGTCATGCAACGTCAGAAATTTTAGGTAATTTCAAATTGAGACAATGGAATCTTCTACTTAGTGAGTCTATCACCAACTAAAGTTTGCTGGTAATTTTCTAGAGAAAGAAATGAAATATATACTCCCTTATAGAAAAATATACTAAACAAATTTATATATTTGCCTGCTTGCTCCAAACAGTAATTCCCAAGTCATGCATTATCTTGTATTTTAGAATCTCAATAGGTAAGTAATATTTTATGACTATTTTTTGCCACTGTGTTCTTCATTGTATAACTTTGTGATAAAAATCAAATAGAAACTGTGCAATTTTTAAAGTTATGTTTTCTTACTGATAGTGAGCATTTATTATCATTTCATGTAGATAATTCTGCCTTCTAAGCTTTTTACATGCTTAGAAACTCATTTAATTATTATACTAACCCTCTTAGGAAGATGCTATTGTCAATAGTTTCAGTATCTAATATCTGATTCAATATCCTAGAAGAGGAATGGTCCAAAACATATTTCAAATTCCAAACCAAATGTCTTTAATGAGGCTGTTATAAGCTACATTGTGTCATTAAAAACTAAATAAATTAGCTACAGTTCTATGCAAGAACAACTCTATTAACTAACATTTTAAGTCTGTTATTTTTCTTCTTGGGGTCATTATTATCACAATAACTAATGTACATTTTAGAATCACATAAAACAAAAGTTTTAAACAAAATAATTGGATTTTCACTTTATGCTTTTCTTTAAACTCTGTTCCCCTAAGTAATCTCTTTACTTAAACCAATAGTGGTTTCATTTGATAGAAGTTTTCTTTTTATTTAAAAAATGCTATGCATCAACAAACGCCTTTTGATTTTTCAGTTTTAGACATTATGTTTTAGACATTAAGTTTTCCTACTTATTACTATTCAGTTCTTTTGTTAAATTAACAGAGAGTACTGATTTGTATTTAACAAAAGTTTACACAGAGAAAAATAGTTTACTGTAAGTGCATTTCCCTTTTAGTACAAGATTGTTCATTTTCTAAGTTCATAGTTT